TACGTTAGAGAGTTATATGCTCTTCCCATACTATAGGATCACAACTACATTCTTCTTAAAACAGGTTCAACCTTCAGTTTAAGGACAGAAGACACAAATGCATAACTATAATTGAGACTAAACTAATTAGTTAGGAATAGTGTGTGATAGTAAACTAACTATATGAAATAACTAACTAGCTCTATTATAGATTAGGAATGATTTTCTTTATAAAAGATATTTTCTTATCTCTCATTTAACTCTTTACTGCATTCCAAGTGATATATTTTAGGATGGGAAGCCATTGACCTACGGATCTCTTAGCCATGAAATACCATGGTGCACTTGAACACCTGCTTATGGTGCCCATTCACACAGTTCATTTTAAGCTAGCTAATGCTGAGTCTCAATATGCAGACTTTGGAGAATCACAATTATTAAAGAATACAGACGTCTGTGACTAGACACATACCAACGAGCAGAGCGCATGCACATACTAGAAGGCAGCTCCGAGGCACTGCTTGAATACTGGAAGGGCCTGGTGGGGACCCGGCAGGTACAGACGCGCCGCCAGTCACCCGTTGAAGAATGAAACACGCTCAGTTGATGGTGCCAACAGAATCATGGAGCCTTTAAGCCTTCAGAACCTGTGGAGAGCATGAGTCTGAACCAGTATCCAGAGGAAGAGAATCCCTGTAAACAGGTGGCTGACCCTATCCATCCTAAAGGGGACCTCTGGAGCAGACATCATCCATTGACTGCAGAGCTGCCCATTCCTAGATGGATGTTCCATATACACCTACCGTACATCACTACCCTAAATGCCTGAGGTGGATACATTATTGTGTATAATCCATGCGCATCTGGTAAGCGCGCAATCCTACCATTTTTTCCGAAGCACCTTTATATTGATATTGGCATACTCCTGGATTTATCATATCTTTACCGACTGATCCACATCCAGTTTCTACTGAAATCTTATCTTTATTTACCCTAGCGCTGCACTTTTTATTTAATGTATGTTTAAGGTTTTATTTGGTTACCTGAGTGTATCAGCTGCTATACTAGAGAGTGCTCACTACCCTTATCTTATTACTATAAGATAAAGTAACAACAATTCTTCACCCACCTTCCTCACCTCTATCCTATTGAAAATTTGAGGGCCCTTCTTAAATATGAGATTTATGGTAAAGGAAAGCCATACAACTCTCGGAACAGTGTCTGGGAGACTGTGGTCGCTGCACAAAAAGTTGATCTGCAGCAGATCAAGAAACTGACAGACTCCATGAATGGAAGGTTTATGCCTGCTATTGAAAAGAAGGGTGGCTATATTGGTCACTGGTTTGTTTTTGTTTAAATTTCAGAAATATTGTAAATTTTGAGTTGTTTTTGATTCTCACTTTAACAGATGAAAATAGACAAGTGAGATGAGAAAAATGTTGTTGTTCATAGAGTATAAATAATAATTCTCCCTAAGAAATCCAAAACCTCACTTTTACTTTCTTTGATAATCAGGTTTGTGGTTTATTAATGTTTTAGATTGACTGTAGTTCAATAATGAAATTAATCAAGAAAACATGCCTAATAATTGTGCACTCTGCATATATTTGTGAGCAACTCTAAGGATGAAGCGCAAAAAGGGCAAAATTAGAACCAAAACATCTGATGAGCACCTTGAGAATTGCTACTCCAACCATCGAACCAGATGTTGATGCGTTAGTTTATCAAAAACAGACTCAATTTTGCATTCGTTTTGTTGCCCTCTTTTACTTTGAGTAATAAAACTTTTTTGAAATTTTTATTATACGATAGGTACATTATCTGTATCAGTGATGGTTAACTTGTGATCTGACTGACTTTTTCCGCTCATAAGTTATCCTTATTATTAGTGTATTTATGTGTGGCCCAAAACAATTCCTTTTTCTTCCAATATGGCCCAGGAAGATCAAAAGGTTGGATACCCCTGCTGTACACTTTCCAAAAGAAAACCCACAAAGATGTTCTGTAGGCATGCAAGTCTCAACTTCTTTGATTATAGTCTGCAGAATTCTAGAGTTCATTTCCTGTTCTTGACATTTATCTATGCAACCTTTGGTGTGCAGTTTATTGCTGCAATGTTCTAGTTTTAATTAAACGTTCCTGTGTCAACATATGCATATGCAAGAAAGTCTCCTAGTTTATTGCCCTTGCTATCATAATGAAGCATCTTGAAGCAAACATCACAGAAGAAGCAGGGGTCATCTGGTGCAAAGCTGTCATTTTTTGTCACCCACCTAAAAAAGGAAAAATTACAACATTAGAACACTTCATTACTACATAACTGGCTGCTGTAAATAAATGAAATATTGCCATTGCCTTAGTTTCCTGTCAAACCAAGGCCAAGTTAAAAATACTAGCTGCTAGGTTATATACAGCTTAAAAACTTTCAATCACAGGTCTGGAACATACACACTTCAAATTGTCAGAAAAGTATCAGAATGTATATGCTTGTTCCAGATCAGATTTCTTTAAAAGAACTAACGGCAAAATTTTTTCTATAGACTGTTTCTTTGCCATCTTTTCCCCTTACTTAACCAAGCTTCCGAAACAGAAAGCGAAAGAAAATCCCTTCAACGTTAGGGAACACCTCCTTTGCACCAGAACTGGTGCTAACCCAAAATTTAGATTTTTTTTTCAGTGAGAACAGAAAAATAGGACAATAAGAAATGCAGAAATAAAAACCTTACAGAAGTTCTAATCCCTCATAACACTATCCAAAACTGTAAAGGTTGGCCTTAACTTATACTTTAAGGCTTTTTCACAGAGGCACTGGACATGGAATCATCTAGATCAATGAAGAGGGCCTTGTGAGGTCAGGACCAAGTAAAGTGAATAAGCCTACAGACTTTGCTTAGGTGACATTTACTGAGCTGCTTGGATCAAACTGTTAAGAAGAGCATTTAGTCAGCTACCTTTATGTAGCATTATTTTTTTATCCACTGTAAGTAAATAAATTCTGATACAACATTTAAATAAAAGAAAAGACTATGAATTACAATTATAATCTGTTGGGTATCTCCACAAAAGTCCCCATCCACCTTAGAGTATCTCTTCTACGCAGATCAAGAGTTCTGAATGCACTCTGTCTTTCCTGACATGCAAGCTTGTTCCAACACTGAGTAAGTACTGCAGCCAGAGACTGCCAGGTAACAAGCATTCTCAGTTCAGCCATGGCAGCCTCTCTTAAAAACAGTAAAACTCTATGGACAGCAAATAATTTAAAAATGTAAGATTAAAAAAAGGGAAGGGACTTACTTTGCTATATACAATTTACACACGTGACACTTTCTTGAATAAAACCAATGCCTTCTAATATGTAATGGGTACAGAGTCCTCTCTAAGCAGTCATCATGATGTATTAACCTTTAAGGGGGGGAAAAAAGTGGTTAAATCAAAGATTGAACGGAAAAAAAAAAATGTATATATATATATTCCTAGATTAGGTAATGATCAGATTTTTTTTATTCCTCCTTACTGCACATTTTTTTTTATTATATTTTTACAGCAAAATGTTGCTACAGTGATCATTCGAACATGAGGCGCAGTGACTGGCTTTAGCTGTGAAGCACTCCAATACCTCCTATAGACCGTACAGTCTACCTAACAGTGCTGTTCAATGAGTATTATAGAATGGTAGTGCAGTGAACATTAAATTGCTATGACATGAGTGAAGGAAGCTGTATAAAATCCCAGTGCCAGGCAGTGGGTAGTAACAGTGAAGCAGCCTCTCTCAACACAGAGGAACCCTCAAAATAACTTTCCACTCTAAGGAAACCCCTGCTAAAAATTACTTTATCTACAACGCATGATACATTAGTTTGATGGTCAGTGAGAAGAATGCTCCTTACACTTGTGGTCACTGGGAAGAATGAATGTCAGCAGGAACTTATATGACAGGCAGAAATTGCTAATTGAACCCCCAGCAACCTCTAGAGGAACCCTAGGGTTCCCTGGAACCCTTGTTGAGAAACCCTGGTGTAAAGTATGAAGGTTTGTTCCCACAGTCTGGTTAACTGACTATTTAGGATAGGAGTATTTAACTGAATGTCAAAATACACAAATATACAAGCTACTGGGTAATGTGTAGCAAGGACATAACAAGGTCCAAGGTGGGGTGAATGTGCCTGTTAGATTTGGAACACAATCACTATTATAAGCCACACATTCTGTGCAATTAACCCCCAAAATGTTTAAAAACTATAAAAGTAAATTAGGGAGCAAACCACAACAAATGCCTTGATATAAGACAAATACAAAATATCCCAAAAATAGTGCTGCACTTTCCCTTTAAGTCATTAAAGTAATACTGCATAGAAATTCCTTATTTTATACAAATACACAACCACTGTGCAAAGTCAATACATATTAAAGCTGTTTCTTTCACAAAATCCAAACATCCCATGAAATGGTGAAAGTGATTTATAAGAGAAGCAATCCTTGCCAGGATCCACTTGAAATCTCCCATGACTTCTACTTCACCACTGTGACAAGTGTGAACTGCTATCATAAAGAGTAAACCCCGAACTAAAATGAAGATATGTTTTATATATATGGGCCATCACATGGGCTGTAGAGAGTATCAGCTAGCCAAACTTAATTGCAACATCCAAACTGGGTCAACTCAGCATCCTGCTAGATCCAGAAACTGAATGCTCTGCTGGCATACAATGAGGTATAGGATGTGGGTGACCCAGTACGGATGGGAAGGGTTGGATGCACTAGCTGATATAGATAGGACTTAAAGCCAAACTCCAGCTAATACCTTTAACCACTTCCCACCTGGCCGTTGTATATATAAATGGCCAGACGGTGGCACTGCAGGTCGGAGGTGGCAGTTTATAAATGGCCTCCGAGCACCCTGCTTGTGCGTGCTCCCCCGGGAGCGCGCAGCACCGCGATCCAGTGCCCGCTGTGTCCTCCTCACTTCGGACATCATTGCTTACTATGTGTGAAATCTGTGAATGATCACAGAGGTCACATTTTACAAGGCTATTCACAACAGCCTTGTACCATGTGACAAGCTGTGACCAATCACAGCTCACTCAGTAGTTCTCAATGGCTGCAAGAATGCAGAAAGAGAAATTATTATTTTTACATCCTATATGGGTGTAAAAGCAATCAGTGTAAAAAAAAACAAAAAAAAATCTTCATCACCATGGTGACACTGTACTGCTAGGGTGACAGTATGTAAAAAAAAAAAAATGATAAAATATAAAAAAAAAATAAAAATGTAAAAAAAAAATGTTTAAAAATTATAAATTTTGGTTATAAACTAATTTGGCTTATTTTTTTTTTTTTTTACTAAAAAGATAACGGAATAAATTTTGGCCAAGATTTATGATGAAATATTTATTTGCAAAATTTTATAAAAAAAAACTTTATTGCAAAATTTTTTGGACATTTTCATTTACATAGCAAAAAAAAAAAATAAAAATCCCAGCGATGAATAAATACCACCAAAATAAAGTTTTATCTGTCTCAAAAAAATAGTAAATTCATATGGGTGCAGTGTAGCATGACCGTGCAATTGTCATTCAAAGTGTGATAGCGCTGAAAATTGCCCTGGTCAGGAAGGGGGTAAAAGTGTCCGGACTGGAAGTGGTTAAGCAGCAACATTTTTCTTTCCCTCTGGGATAAACGTTTTATATAAATGAACAAAAGCTTATCATTTTTAAGCACCACTGTCAGTGCGAAATGCTATGTCTCAACACTAATTGCCACTTTTGCTGGACAACTTGGTCTGTTAAAGGAAGTTAAAAAAATTAGATTTACTTGCTGGATCAACAAGTAAAACAGGAAATATGCCTAAAAAAAAAGGAAACAAATGTTTTCTTTTGGGTACAAAACTACTTTAAATTTGCCAGATACATTAATTATATTGCAGTTTGATCAGTTCTTAGACGTCATGACTGAATTAGTTTTCATTTTTAGGGCTCTTACCTTTATTTTCATCTATTGATCCAACCAGTAAGCCTGTTGTTTTTCAAAAGAACAAGCTTTTCTTCAAATGTAGCAGTTAGATTGTTGAGACAAACTATTTACCACTGATTTATTCATGTAAAACGGTGTGCACAGACGAACAAGTCGTTACCTTGCAAACGTGAGAAACAGACATCTGATGTCATAATGCCCAGGAGAAACAAACCACCCTGGCGAAGTGCACCATAATGGGGACAGGAGGTTCCCACTCTTTAATAGCATACGCCTGAACAATGTGGAATCCAATGGAAAATAGTGGCAGAAGAGGACATCATGCCTTTCCTCAAAGTCTGTCTGTGAGCGAAAAGAAAGAGAACTCTGGAAGGCAGCCGTCGTGGATAAGTACATGTGAACAACTCAGACCACATCCAAGGAGTGCAAATCCACCTCCTTAGGGTGCAAAGGCTGAGGACACCAGGAGGTAAGAAGGGGATGAGTGAAGCACCACCTTATCCCTGTGAAAAATCAGATAGGAAGACTTATAGGACAAACCTTCCAATTTTGACACGGCCGAGCAGAAGTGATAGAGACCAGGAATGCAAGTAAGCAAGAGAGTGTAAGCAAGTAAATATCCCCAATGCTCTCGAAAGGTGGCTTCTGGAGAACCAATAAAACCAAATTCAATTCCTACATCAGCAACAGGGAAAGCACAGGGGGGCTTTACAGGGACGAACCCACTGGATAAAAATGCAAATCAATGAATGCGTAGCAAAGGGAAGCTGAAAAAAACACAGCAAGAGCAGAAGCTTGACCCTTAATATTACTCAAGGCAGTCCTCTGACCAACTCCATATTGAAGGAAGACCAAGCCACTGAGAAGGATGCAATCCCAAAGCTTTGCACCGGATGATATAAGCTTTCCAGGTGCGATAACATATCGTCCGGGAGGTAGACATACGAGCCTTCAACATTGTCGGAATCACCAAGCTAGACAACCCCCTGTCCATCAGAGCTTGGCTCACAATAGCCATGCCATGAAAGCCAGAGAAGGTAAAGCAGGGTGGAAGGCTGGCCCCAAATAGGAGGTCCTCCCAAAGAGGTAACCGACAGGGAGCGCCTGCAACCAGCCACACTATTTTGGCATACCATGGGCAATGAGGTCAGTCTGGTGCCACCAAAGTGACTGGAATTCCTTTGGTCTCTATCCTGCACAGCAAGCATGGAATCAGCTTGTGCTAGGAGGAAAAGGGTAAACAAGGTGGTACTGATCCCATGGTACCACCAGAGGATCCCTTGTTCTCACCACGAACCTTCAAGTTGAGGCAGGACACCAAATGATCCATGTACGGCGCCCCCCGAATGAAGACAGAACTGTTTGAACACCTCCAGGTGCAGGGACCACTCCCTCAGACGTGATCCCATGTCTGATGGCTGAGATAATCCATCTACCAGTTGACGACACCTGGAATGTGTATGGTGCACAGTGCTTGAACAAACCATTCTACCCATCGCAGAATATGACATGCCTCCAGCGCTGTTGCACTTCTCGTACCGCTCTGATGATTGACTTGGCGTTGTCCAATTGAATCTTGATCAGGAACCCCCTGAGGAGATCTGTCCAATGTTCCAAGGACAACCTGATTGCTTGAAGCTCCAGAACATTGATCGGCAGTCAAGCATCCTCCGGGGTCCAGCGACCTTGGGCTGATTCGAGCCCAGGACTCCTCCCTAGCCCCACTTGCTGTCATCCATTGTGACTACTGTCCAGCGAATAGGAAGAAAGGATGTCCTGGCCTGAAGGAATGGAGACTATAGCCACCAGAGAGCAGAGGCCTTCATCGACCGAGCCAGATGGCTACAAAAAGTCCAGGGAAGTGGGAGACCTGTTCCATTTGGATAGGATTTCCATCTGCAGAGCTGTCGTATAGAACTGGGCATACGGAACTGCTTCAAATGTACCCACCATTAGACCCAGATCCTGCATGTAAAACCGCAGGAAGGGCTGACTGCTGGACAAAAGCCACTGGACCGCAGACCAAAACTTCTGGAGTTTGTCTACTGAAGAAACACCTTAGCCTGCTCCAAATGGAGAATTAGGCCCAGATACTCCAAGCACTTGGACGGTGTCAACACAGACTTCCTGAAGTTCCCGAAGTGCAGGTCTCCGCAGGTAGGAACAAGTTGTCTAGGTATATCCCCAAAACACCTTGTTGTTTCAGCAGGGCAAGAACAAGGGCGGGATCTAGCCTGTCTGATGTGGAGGTGCATTAAAAAAAAATGTTAGGGGGGCAGAGGATGAAGGTCAAGGTCAGCAGGGCAGAGAGATAGGTCAGCAGTTTGTAAGGCAGAGTACAGAGGCCATTAGTTTGTAGGGCAGTTTACAGCAGGTTATCAAAGCAGTGTACAGGGGTTAGCAGGGCAGTGTACAGGGGGGTCAAGCAGGACAGAGGATGAGAGGTCAGCAGGGGAATGTACAAGAGTCAGTAGGGCAGTGTACAGGCGGTCAGTAGAGCAGAGGATGGGAGATCAGCAGGAGAGTGTACAAGAGTCAGCGGGACAGAATATATGGGGTTCAGTAGGGCACAGGATAGGGGTCAGTAAGGCAGAGGATGGGAGGTCAGCAGGAGAGTGTACAAGAGTCAGTAGGGCAGTATACAGGGCTTCAGTAGGGCAGGGGTCAACAGAGGAGATGGCAGGGGTCAGCAGGGTGGAGAACAGGGGTTATCAGGGCAAAGACAGGGCAGTAAGACAGAAGATGGGGCAGTAGGGCAGAACAAAGGGGGTCAGCAGGGCAGGGAAAAGGAGGTCAGCAGGGCAGGGAAAAGGGGGTTAGCAGGGCAGAGGACAGTTGTCATAAGGGCAGTGTACAGTGGTCAGCAGAGCAAGGTACAGAGGGTCATGGGTCAGAGGAGAAGAGGACAGGGTCAGAACTGCAACTGCAGGTTGAGGCTGTGTTTGTAAGGAAATCCGATCCAAGCTATGTGCTGTGTGGGGAGGAGGAGTTCTATTGACTGCCCCTGTGTGTGTGGTACGGGCAGTGCCAGGACAAGGTCATCTAGCTCCCAGGGCAAAGATGACAAACTAAGCCCCCCATGTGTGAGCATCCTGTTTCAGCATACATCCCTCCCCCTCAAAAAAAAAAAACAAAAAAACAGCATGCTCCCCCCAAGCATAATTCTGTCTGCAAGCCAAAATGCTCCCCCAAACAATAACGCAAAAATGTCCCCTTCTCCCAGTATAAACCCCCCTCCTAGCCCAGTCCCGTCCCCCCCCCCCCCCAATTCCCTCCTCTTAGCACAAATTTCCCTCACCCAAAAAATCTCCCCTCCATGCACACATCCACTTACCCCTCGCATTTCCCATCCTAGCCTCAATCTCAACAAAATTATTCTTCCTAGCATAAATCTCTCCCTTCACACCCTCCTTGCACAAATTCCTGCTCAGTCCCCCTTCTTAGCCCAAATTCCCCCACAATCTCCTACCACAAATTCTGCCTTTTTGCACAAATTCCCCCAATCTCCCCTTCTAGCACAAAGCCCCCCCCCCCCCCCCCCCCCACTAATCCCCCCTCCCTATGACAAATTTACCTAAATTCCTCTTCCTCCCCTTCTAGCACAGGTCTACTGTTAATCCCACTACTAGAATAAATCTCCCTCATCCTCCCTCCTAGCATAAATTCACTCCCACTCCCCTCTCTTAGCCCAAATTCCCTCACCATTTCCTAGCACAAAACCCTCCAATCGCCCCTTCTTGCACAACACAAACCCCCCAATAATCACACCTCCAAGCACCTATCCCCTCTCTTCAAGCACAAATCCCTTTACTAATCCTCTCTCCTAGCACAAATCTCCCTGCTAATCCCCCCTACTAGCACAAATCCCCCCCAACATCCCTTTCTATTTCAAATCTCCTGTTAATCTCCCTCCTAGCACAACCCCCCCCCCCCCCCCCCCCCCCATGACAAATTCCCCTACGCCCCCTTATAGCCTAAATCCCCTGCCCCCTCTTAGCACAAATAGGCACAAAATCCCCATATTCCTTCTCCTAGCAGAAATCTCTCCAACCCCCAACTACCCTTTGCAGCACAAATAGCCCCCTCTCATCCCAAGCACAAATGACTGTTCCCCCCCACACCTCCCCCTTATTATG